TCATTGGTAATCAGTCTGGTGTTATGCCAAGAACCTGAGATTGGCAGGCTGGAAAGGGTGTGGCATCTGTTGGGTGCTCTGTCCTGTATTAGGCACTAATGATTTATGTCTTCCATTTCAAATTCAGTGTAAAATAGGAACATCCAGGATTGTGTTAAGTATGAATAAGTAAAGTGTATAGTGTTTTTGGAAATTAGAATAACGCATAACCTACTCATCTAATTTTGATTGTCTCACCTGATCTGCTCACATCATGTTTTGGGATTCTGTTTGGTTCTGTGATTCTGTACTCATGTACTGTCTTTCCAACAAACTGAGGTTTAGTAAACAAGTTTTGAGCACCTGTCACAGTCCTGACAAATACCAGAGGTGAGAAGTGAAGTGGAATCTTCTTCCCCAAAGGATTACATCAAAGTCCTCTGGGGGAAAGGCACATATAAATATATCTGCTTGGTGTCAATCAATGTTGTGTAGCAAAAGAGAAGTAAAGATGGAGTGAGAGGGCCAGGAAGACTGCCCGCATCCCATGAAGCAGAAAGACAATTTTTTAACTGCGGCCTGTAAACTAAGGTCAAAGATAAGGTAGTAAAGGGCTGGGGACCCAGTAGCATTAGCAGTAGATGTGGGAAGAAGTGGAAAGTGCATGGCACATCTAGTGGGTGTGGAGATTGGGATGCAAGTGGTGGTGGAGATTTTGGGGAGTTTGCTCTTGCTATTTTATATTCCTACAGCACTTTCTGCAGAGCTGAGCGTTGCTTGCAAAGGTCAAATATTTGTTGATTCTATATTGAATGTCGTTACTAGTTTTGTGCTAATATTTTCCTTTATTAATAATTCCTGTTTTGTTACATAATGCTTTCAATTAGATGTTGAAGTTTTAAATAAAATGTTTGCTTTTATTTATTGAAAAAGTAGAGAGAAGGAAATAGGGAGGAAGATCTGTCTGCTGGTTCACTCCCTAAATGTCTGCAACAGCCAGGGTTGGGCCAGGCTAATAAGTACTCAATCCAAGTCTTCTCACATAGATGGTAGGAAACCTGCCCACTGCCTCCTCTCAGGGTGCAGGAGGCTGAGGCAAACTAAGAATTCTAGTATGGGATATGAATAGCCCATGTGGTATCTTAATGCTGTCTCAAATGCCTGTGTCAATCTTAAACAATTTTTAAGATAAGCTATTGATTCTGTGAATTATTTTTTAAGATTTGTTTATTTTTATTGATAAGGCAGATATACAGAAAGAAGAGACACATCTTCCATCTGCTGGTTCACTCCTCAAATGGCCACAGTGACTGTAGCTGAGCTGATCCAAAGCCAGGAGCCAGGAGCTACTTGCAGGTCTCCCATGTGGGTGTAGAATCCCAAGGCTTTTGACTGTCCTCTGCTGCTTTCCCAGGCCTCAAGCAGGGAGCTGGAAGGGAAGTGGAGCAGCTGGCACACAAACTGGCACCTCTGTGGGATCTTGGCACCTGAAGGGAGAGGATTTAGCCATTGAGCCATCAAGTTCGGCCCTATATATTCAATTCTATATGAAGTGTTAAGTGCTGTTTTCTACTTTATATGAGAAAAACGGAGAAACTTAAGAAGAGTTGAGTTTATCATTGTTAGTGGTAAAGTTTCGTTTTTAAATCCAAGCGTCCTGGCACTTTTAACCACTATGCTACAGTGACTCTCAAAGTAAAAAAAAAAAAAAAATCTGTTTATAAAGAATTATTGAAAACTCATTAATTTTATCTATGCATCACCAATTTTTTTGCACATTTTTATTGCTCACATATATTCACTAGACTAGAGACATGGGTTCTTATGTAATTTATTGTATGTGAACTTGTGCTAATTTTGAAAGAGTAGAGGTTAACCCGCCGCCTACAATGTCAGCTGTCTTATGAGCACTGTTTGGAGTACTGGCTACTCCACCTCTGATCCTGCGCCCTTCAGTGGTGGAGGATGGCTGATGTCCTTGGGTTCCGGCCACCCTGAGGGAGATTGGCTCCCGGCTTCTGCCTGGCCCAGCCCTGAGCATTGTGACCATTGAAAAAGTGAACCAGCGGATAGATCTCTCTCTGGTTTTCCTTCTCTTTCTGTAACTCTGCCTTTCAAATAAGATAAATCATATCTGTTTTAAAAAGGATGAACTATTTAAGATTCTTTAAACTGCATATTTTGAAACAGTAGGTAGTTTTAATAAATCTATTTTGTAGAGTTTTGGTTTTGCAAGATTTCTAACAATTACATTATGTTACATCTTTGACTGCCCTGGCTCTTGGTAAATTCTTCCCTTGAGGTCCACCAGGAGAAAAATGTTAGAAATAATGACATGGGAAATAAAGTATTGATTTATCCTCCACTGGCTTTATACCTAAAATTTACCTGTAGAACTTGTATAAGTTTGACCGAAATACAAGACCTTAATAAAAAGCAAGCCTTGTGTTTGGCACAGCAGTTAAGTTGCTGCCAGAGAGGCCCACACCATTTCAGAATGCCTGCTAATGCTGGCCCTGCTCCCATCAGCTTGCTAATAATGCACGCTCTGGGAGGCGGCAAGTGTTTGGGTCCTTGCCACCCATAAGGGAGACCCAGATTGAGTTTCTGACACCTGGCAGGGTCCAGCTGTAACTGTTCTGGGTAACTGGGGAGTGAACCAGCATATGGCAGATAAATTTCTCTGGATTTCAAAATAAGTGAATAAAATACAAGCCTATATTTTGCATGCTTCTCTCACCTTTGGAATGGGACTCAGAAACTGAAGGCTAAGAAACTAATGTTGCTGTTCCTGACACATGGAAGCAGCAGAAGGAAATGCCGCGAGAGGAAGGCCTGAAGGTCAGGTGTTGCCATTCGAGAGGGAGAAGAGGAGCCACACTTAACACGAAGGGTATTTTGGTCTCCAGTGATCCCTATCTATTAATAAACAGGGCTCGGGTGATGTTCTGGAAGCCAACCAATTAGACTCATTCTTTGGAAGGTCAGGGCTTGGAGAGAAAAACCAGTTAAGATGTCTTTCCTTAGGTGGCCATTCCCACTTTAATTTTGAATAGTTTTGAATTATGTTGTCTGGCTGACTTCTAGAAAAAAAATATTCAATGAAACTATTGATAGTGGCTTTCTAATTTTAAAGATCATAATTTTTCCTAAATGCTGTTAGTAAAGTCGCTGTGTCTCACATTGTTTCTGCCTCTGGAGCAGGGTGGAGATCTTGAAAGTAGCTCTTGGTTAAGCTGATGTATTTTTATGGAAACAACTGCTTAACACCTTTATCAGATTCAGTCTTTAGATTTATTTGCTGTAAACTAGATTTCATTAATTCCTATCACCAGTAAATCCAATGATTTCATATATTTGATCAGAAAGTAGTAAGACCTTTGTTTTTAGTGACTTAATTTTGTATGATTTGTTAACTTGGGATTTTTCTACTGAGTACAGAAATTCAGCATTTGAATTTGAAGCTTGTCAAAATAGAACTATATGAAGTCTACATTTATATATATATGTATTTCAAGATTTGTTTATTTTTATTGGAAAGGCAGATTTACACAGAGGAGGAGAGCTGTCTGATGGTTCATTCCCCAAGTGGCCACAATGGCTGGAGCTATGCCCATCTGGAGCCAGGAACCAGGAGTTTCTTCTTCTGGGTCTCCCACGTGGGTGCAGGGTCCCAAGGCTTTGGCCACCCTCTGCTTTCCCAGGCTCCAAGCAGGGAGCTGGATGAGAAATGGAGCAGCTGGGACACCAGCCTGGAAGCCCATGTGAGATCCCAGTGCTTGCAAGGCAAGGGTTAGCCTTTGAGCCATTGTTCCTGTCCCTTTGTGCCATCTCTTTCAGTTTTTTACCTGAAGATGATACTGTGTCTGACTGACTTTCATCTTTTACTCTCTAATTAATTTGTGTCAATTTTAATGTGCTTATTATTGGTCAGTGGAAGAAAGCAGAAAAGAAAGAGGTTTCTTGAATAATTCGGTGATATTGATTGTATTTGGCAAAATTCATCATTTTAGAATACTTAATAGTGAATGTTAAGATAAATTATAAGTTATTGTCTGGAAAATGAGGAATGTGTGAGTGTATATATTGAGTTTTAAGTAGGTGCTACCTGTTTAGTTATTGTCAGCATTTGTTATCAACAGTACTTATTTCAGCATTTAACCGTGTAGTGTATTGTGTTGAATAGCTGTAGAACATTAGCACTGGAAGACACTTCGTTAATACAAGTAATATTCTTTATCTCCATTTTTTAAATTTATAGATTTAGTACTATATTTATGGTTTAGAATAATAAGCTAGGAGTTGAGATTAGAAGCATTTATTCATTTCCTGGAGCCAGGGAGTGTAAGCCTAGTGTGGACTAGATGAGAGAAGCACACACCGGGCCAGGAGAGGGATGGAGGGGGAACGCGAGGCACAGGGCTTGGGGCAGCACTTGCTAGAGGGTTTATAAAATATATTAGAGTAAATATTGATGGGAGCTAGGAGTGGAAAGGAAAAATTAGAATGAGGAATGAGTTTATGTAAAGATTCTTCCAGAATAAGAGAACATACTTGAAAGAAGAAAGGAGGGATTATCTAGAGAAGGAGGAGGTGACTGTTTTAAATATGTTAATGATTTGAATGTGGCAGTTGTAAGAATGGTGCTTTGGAGTTGAGTTACCAGGGGTCACAGCACATGGGTGTAGCATTCTTTTAGATAAGTGAGCCACTCTTGTGGGCTTAAGGATATTCTAAGAATACATTTGTTTGGACTGGAGTTCATTACTTGAATTTGTAATGAACGATACATATGCAATTTTGAGTTGTGTGATGTTTAAATAAATAGGCACTCTAAGGCTTGGAATGATTTTTAATTTTAATTTTTTTAAACTAAATCAAAGAATCCTGATTACACACAGGGTTTTGTTTTGTTTCTAAGTAAATTATCTTTATTGCATTTTTTGGCCATTTCTTTTATTCCATAGCAGATTCATTCATCCTACTAAGAATCTAACTAACGTTCTTCATTTTATTTTCAGTTTGGCTTTGGTTGGAAAAGGAACTTAGCCTATATGTACTATTTTAACCACTGGAAGAATGACAGATGACAAAGATGTGCTTCGAGATGTGTGGTTTGGACGGATTCCAACTTGCTTCACTCTGGGCCAGGATGAAATAACTGAAAGGGAGGCTGAACCATACTATGTAAGTATGTTGGTCGTGGCAGGCGGGATACTTATCTTCATCCAGTTTTGTAAATAAAGCTCTGAGAATATGTTAGAGGTCTGTAAAGGCTCTTAACTGAGATTTTGGTACAATTAATCCATGCTGTTTTGAGGGAGAAAACAAAAGAAAAACAAATATGCAAAAAAAAAAAAAGGAAATAAAAATCATTCTGAATCCTGTCACCCAGAGGATGTTAACTGGTTGACATGACGACGATTTTTTTTTTCTGTAAGCAGATATAATGTAGGATAATGGAATCACAATATGTGTGCTGTGTTTTTTTTTTTTAAAACGAAACTATTGTGAAAATGGATTCAGACTGGATTTTTAATGTGAGGTGGAGCAGCTGTTTAGCCAAAGGTATTTTCATAGTTCATGAGCATATACACTTTTATACGATTGCTGAGCCACCATGTTATATATGAGCTGATATGAAACTATTTTTAGTTTTTATTTCTTTGGCCAAGTTTATTTGAAAGGTGAGGAAATCAGAGAAACACATTCACAGAGTGGGCAGAGACGAGGAAGGTGGGAGAGAGCCATTTCTACTTTGTTCTTGTGTCCTTGGAGAGAGGGTGCCCAAATTTGCTACCTGCCTGTCCCATTTCATTCCCTACTCACATTTCTGACCCCTGTTCCTAAGAGTTGTGAACAGTGTACTTCCATCCTGTCGTCTGTGGCTATTTCCTGCTGCTGATGGGTATAAGCCTCACGTATCCCAGGTTTGGAAATGTATGCCAGTCTCATCTAATAGATCCACCTCAGTGACTGCGTTTGCTGCATCATCAGCATCACTCCGAGAATCCACAGGTTTCTGCTGGTCCACAGGGGCAGGCTGACTCATGCATTTGGACATAACTCTCTTCTCTGCACAGGATGTGATGTTCTGATATTGGGATCCATGACCCTGTCTCTCGGCCCTGAGACTGTAGGTCATTTTGCATCGGGACATGACAGCCTGCATTTCTTGGGAGTGCCGAATGCTGTCACTGTGATTTGCCCCCAGGACCCTATTCTCAGGGCCGAGCCTGGTATGGTTTCAACCACATAGAACCCACCAGGTTCCTGTCCTGCTTTCCCTAGAACAGCACACTATCATGCAGCAGCTGTGGCCTGCCCAGGGCTTGTCAGGTATCTGGACTGCCAGAAGCCATCAGGGGGCATCCCTGTCTTCACCCTTCTCCTCCTTCCCAGTCTGAACCCCTTAGCCAAGCTCAGTAATACACTGCAGGTGTGACCTGCCTTGGGCCTCAATGTCAGATGTCTGGTCCGCCACTCCCATCCCTGCGTTGTGGTGTACAGCAGGACCCCTAAGGCTCCTGGCCTGCTCGCTCCCAGGCTGGTGCTTTGGTGTGCTTAGGGTTCCACTTCCCAATTATCCATGAGGCCTCTAGTCGGCCTGCTTCCAGCTCATTGCTTTGGCTTGCCATGGTCTGGCATGCTTAGGACTCCAGAATCAAGCTTCTGGCTGGCTCATCCCAGACCAACATGATGGCATGCCACAGGTGCAGCCTGCCCAGGACCCTTAAGCTCTGGCTTAAGGCCTCTTCTAGGGTGCGACTAGACGCAGGCCTGTTCCACTCCCTCCCCCCAAACCCCACCTGTCAACATCTTGAGCTGCCATATCTCAGAACTGTGTAGCTCTGGCCTCAGACCCCATCCAAGGACCCTTGTGCAGTGTGACTCAAGTTGTACGCCATCTCCCAAGCCCTCAGGAAATGAAGGGAACAGAAGAGGAAGATTATGTATTTAGTAATATATATTCTAGATTTTTCTTTTTTCTTCTTCTTTTTTTAATTGGAAAGAGATTTACAGAGAGGAGGAGACACAGAAAAATCTTCCATTCACTGGTTCACTCTCCAAGTGGCTACAATGGCCGGAACTGAGCTGATCCAAAGCCAGGAGCTACGAGCTTCCTCTGGATGTCCCACTCGGGTGCAGGGTCCCAGGACTTTGGGCCCAACTCTACTGCTTTCCCAGGCGACAAGCAGAGAGTTGCTAGAGAAGTGGGACATCCAGTTGGGATCTTCTCCTTGAGGTGTGCCCCTTCCCCACCCTTTCCAAGTACTTGTGTCAGACAGGTTTTTGCATCTGTTAATTAGGTGGTATCCTTTCTTCTTACTGAGTAGTCCTTTTTAGGTGAAGACATTTTCAGTTGTTCTAGTTGTTTCTTTTTCTCATCCGCACACACTGAGATCTACCAGGAGTGGATAATGGTAAGGGGGCAGTGTCGTGATGATGGATGGCTGCTTCCGTTTGGCCTCCCCTTTGCTTTCCTCCATGTCTTCTGTACACAGGGCAGTGGCGCTGCTAGAGGAAGCTGCCTAGGGAACCCGTCCACTCTTTTCACTTTTTATGGTTAAGAACTTCCTCAGCTTCCTAGAGGGCCTGTAGCCGTAGAAACGAAATATGGAAGACCTCCTAGCCTCATGTTTGAAATTTATTTGAAATTATCTGTTTGGATTCTCTTAGTAGCCATGATGACTTTTAGATATTGGGTAGTCTTATTACTGATACTTAAGGTTAAATACATCTGAGTAACTTTAAAAAAATCTCCACAATATTCTCTCTTTAGAAAAACTTCCACAGGTCTAAGTGTGGTCACAATATATTGTTCAATGTATTTTTTCTGTTTTGCTGTAGTATGGGTTAAGATTCCACTTACGTTTTGTTTCTGAATGAATTTTTGTGGTTTTAATTAAAGCTTTTAAATTGGTTAGCTTTATAGAACAGTGCATAACAAAGGAGTATACGTGTGTAGTTGGGTAAAATTGTAAAACTGAGAAATATATAATTGAATTCTATTTGCTTTCCAATCAGGTTTGCATTTGATGTGTTTCCTAGAGTTAGAAATTCAATGTTTTTTTTTCATATTTGAATTTGTTTAAATCTTGTGAGAAATGGGATGTAAGTAGCTTTCTAATCAAATTGGAAATGATAAAAACTCTTGAGGATAACTGTAGAAGAGAGAGGATTATTCTGCCTTATTGGTAGTTCTTTCTAATTAATTCTTTCTAATTGTTCACCCAAAGAAAATTTTACATAGTTCTGCCTTGTATTTTTTAAGAGTATGGATGCTAGTAATTTAGTATATAAATAATAACAAGTAGCAGCAAGGGGGCCTGGTGCACTGATATAACAGATTAATCCTCTGCCAGAAGTGCTAGCATCCCATATGGGCACCGATTCATGTACCGGCTGTTCCACCTCTTGTCTGACTCTCTGCTTATGGCCTAGGAGAGCAATTGAGGATAGCTCAAGGCTTTGGGCCCTTGCACCCACATGGAATGCTGGGAGAAATTTTTAGCTGCCAAGTTTGGATCAGCTCAGCTCAGCTCTGACCATGGCAATCATTTGAGGAGTAAACCAGCAGATGGAAGACCTCTTTCTCTCTCTATGAAAAAACCTGCCTTTTAAGTGAAAATAATTTGTTTTAATTAGGGGTTGAACCTTGTAGTCCAGTCTAAATTTAGGTTTTAAAATGCATATATATGTAAATATATGATAATTCATACCAGAAAGAAATACATTAAAATATTAGCTGTATTAGAATCATAGGTGAACATTTTAGCAACAGTGTAGCTGTTTTGGATATGTTCGATTATGTATTATACTTGAAAATATTTCTAATATTTACCAATAGTTCTATTTTTTCTCCATTTTGATTTGTTGCTTTTGCATGCATGTTGTTTAAATTATTAAGGATTATGTTTATTTTGCAGAGAAGTATTAGGAAGGAAGCTGTTAAGAAGCTAAATAACTTCAGTTTTGGTGTTTCTGTTAAATCCATTTAAAATATTGCTTTTCATTTAGAATGTCAAGTTGTTTTTTAAAATTTATTTTTATGTTTACAGAGAGAGGGAAGACAAAGAGACATGCTATCCATTGGTTTATTCCCTGATTGGTCCTAGCATTTGAATGTAGGAGCATCCTGTGGGTCTCTCGTGTGGGTGCAGGCTGCTGCTTTCTCAGACACATTAGCAGGGAATTGGATAAGATGTAAAGCTGCTAAGATTTGAACCAGCGTCCATATGGATTGTCAGCTCCTTAGGCGGAGGCATAGCCTACTATACCATTGAATGGATAGTTAAAAAATATATAATTTGCATTTTTAAAAGATTTACTTATTTTTATTGGAAAGTTAGATATACAGAGAGGAGGAGAGACAGAGAGGAAGATCTTCATCCAATGTTTCATTCCCCAAGTGGCCACAATAGATGGAGCTGAACCAATAAAATACCAGGAGCTAGGAACTTCTTCCAGGTCTCCCACGTGGGTGTAGGGTCCCAAGGCTTTGGGCTGTCCTCAACTGCCCCCTCCCAACTTCCAGGCCACAAGCAGAGAGCTGAATGGCTTTTATTGGAAGAGAAGATCACATTTATAGAGAGAAGGCGAGACAGAGAGAAAGGTCTTCGTCTTCCACATTCTCATCCTTTGATATTTCCTTCTCCCATACCCCTAACTTTTGATCCATAATTTAGTTCAGCTGATTTTGTATTCAGTACCTCTCAGGCTTGGCTGATTGCTTTCATTCCCCTGCTACAGTTTAATCCAGACCACCATTTAAAAGCTGCTGAATTGCATAGCGATAACCAGTGTTTCTGCTTTCAGTTTTTTCTTCTCTGCATTTTTATTTTGCAGCTAGTATTGATCTTTTGAAAACACAGCTTGTTATTGTCACTTGCCTGCTTATTGGCTTTTTATTATCACCAGGAACTTTAATGTAGTTTAAAAGGTTCTCCATGATCTTCAGTATTAGTTTATCAGAATGCTTTTTCTTCCTTCATATCTTGGCTTTAGTAACAACCGCATGTTGTATGCAATATGAGTTTAATAAATAAGTTGATCTATTGTTCAAAGATGTTTTGCCCATTAAAATGTACTTTATATCTGTTAAATGAATGAAGAGAACTATTTGCTGTTTGGTAAGCAGTGTACTGTTGGGCAGAAAGGCACAGCAAATCCAAACCCTGAAATACAGGCATGATTAGTAACCACTGCTTGTATTCCACCCAAAATGGCCAGCTGTTTGTGACTCCTCCTCGTGGTAACTCTAGTGGACCATACGCTGTGAACCTGTTGGTGTTCTGTCCTGACAGGGCTCTGTTGGAAATCAGCTCTTCACTTCATGTCACGTTCGGCTTCCTAAGAGTTTACTCAGATGTGCCCATTTGTGTGTGTTCTTTCTTTGCCTTAGATGAGTATGTTTTTAATTTTATAATTGACCATTGTTTGATAGAGTAAGACTTGTCATGATTAAGTATGTTATAGCACCTTTTTCAGAGATTAAAACATTTGGTGTAATTGTATAAAATATGTATCCCTTTTAAGCTGTATAGAAGCAGAATGAATCAGTTTCACTATACTAAGTGCTCTATCCCACTGCTAAATGAAGACTGACAACAACAGATTCTGTTGTAGCTGACAAAACCCCAACAGGGCTAATCATTTTCATCCTGCAAGAATAAAAAAAAAAATTTTAAGACATTTTGCTATCTGAAATACACCAGAGGCAAAAGAAGAGGTATTATACGGTGCCACTTACTTAGTGTGCCTAGATAGTCGAACCCATGAAGACAAAACATAGAGTGGTAGCTACCAGGTGCTAGGGAAGGTGGGGTCTGAGCAGTTATTGTTGAATAGCTGTGGTTTTCCTTTGGAGCAGTGCTGCTGAGTTGCAGAGAGGGAGGGAGGTGATGGCTGCATGACATTGTGAACATGCTTGTCTCCCCGAACTGTACAATTACAGGTGGTTAAAATGGATGTTTTTGTGAGGTGTATTTTACCTGAAGAAGATCATAAGGTAAACCAATGAGCTAGAGCTAACATTCAGTGAGGATAGTCTGGAGATAAAAGGCAAGGTGATACCACTGTGCTGTTCTTTGTGTTTTTTACTTTCTAAGTATTTCCTCAATAAATTGTGACTGTGTACTGTCTTGTAGACCTTCTTCAGTTTTAGATATTTTAGTGTTACCATGTCTCTTCCCAGTGGTTATAGATTACACCCAGAAATCAAATTGGAGCAGAAAATTGTAACAGTAATACATTCTAGAGGGTATTCTGCTTTAGAAAAGCATTTTCATTTTTAATGATCATTTTTGGCTCTTTGCCCAGTTAACCTTTCGCACCTCTGATTCACTCAGCAAATATGTACTGCTCACCTGCCATAAAGCAGCCACTGTTGGGGACTGTGGGAATGTGGCCTTGAATAAAACAGTCCTACATTCCTGTCTTATTGGACATTTCACTCCAATATTCTACATTCCTGCTGTGAAGAAATTTCTGTTTCACAAAAATTCGTTTGTGAAACAGACTTCTTTAGCAATTTTGAATGTTGTGCATTGTACATGTTGTGCAGCACTGAGAGTTGTGCTCATTAGCCATAGTGTGTCTTCCCCCTTTACATGGCTATGAAACAGATTACTGTCAAGTGACCAGTAGTCATTAAAGAATAAACTTCTGAATTTACAAATATAGATTGTAATAGGCGAATTGATTGTAATAGTTTATTTTTAAATTGCTAATTTACTATTCTGTTTGGTTTCTCAGAAACTCCGTGTCATTTGTATTGATTTCTGCCTTTTTGAAAGAATCCAATGCATGTATTCTCTGCTCTTTATTTAATAACATGATTTTGACTGGTTTTTTAAACTGTAAAACAGGTTTGTTAAAGAAGCCATTATTTTTTCTTATGTAAATATTGGTTTCCTTTTGTTCCTAGTTAGTAATTTATTTTCTTTAAAGATTTACTTATTTATTTGAAAGAGTTACAGAAAGAGAGGCAGAGACAAAGAAAAAAAATTATTTTTGGCCACGATGGCCAGGACCAAGCCAGGCCAATGTCAGGTGCCAGGAGCTTAATCTGAGTGTCCCATAAGGGTATCTGGGGTCCAGACACTTTCCAGGCCATTAGCAAGGAACTGGATGGGAAGCAGATGGAACAACTGGAACACAAACTCTCACCCTTTTGGGGTGCTGGCATTGCTGACTGTGGCTTAACCCACAAAACTGGCCTTTTGTCATTTCTTTATGAAGGAAGTTATTCTGTCAATCCATAGTATTGGTCCTATCAGATAGCTTCTTTGTACAGTGTTTAGTGCGTTTTATTCCAAACTCGACTTCATCAGCTCTCATATGACTGAATCACTGTTATGTCACTCCACCGAGAGGCTTTACCTAGTGCTGTATTCTCTTCCAGTCTTCAAAACCTGGTGGACTAAGAAGTCCCGATTCAGAAGTCTCCCTGTGTGTTAGGATTGAGCTGATGAACTTCTCAGCACTGTAACTCTGGTGAATTTTACTTTGATTTTGAAGTTAAATTTGGTAGAAATAGTCAATTTCCTATTTGAGGTGATACCTATATTTAAAATCGTTCATTTACAGAAAGATTATAGATTTGTTTCAATAATTCCAGATGTTTATGCTAAAATGTAAGCAGTTAACTTTGTGTGGATACTTGACATAGTGAAGAACATGGCTGTTTTTCCTTAAAATTAAATAAACCTGTTGTATATAGTTTTGGAAAAAATAACTAGTAAGTAAATGTGGTTTTACAAATTTTCATTTCAGTTGCTATTGCCAAGAGTAAGTTATTTGACGTTGGTAACTGACAAAGTGAAAAAGCACTTTCAGAAGGTTATGAGACAAGAAGACATTAGTGAGATATGGTTTGAATATGAAGGCACACCACTGAAATGGTGAGTGAACTCTTTCTGCATTACTGAGCATTACGTTTAGGCCAGCATTGAGAAGGTCCAGTGCCCAGAAGTACCTGTAACAAAGTCTCTACGGAAAAAAATCACTAGTCTGAAGTTTAAATAATGATTAGAATATTTTATTGAAAATATTTTCCTTCCATGTGAATGTGTGAATGACTAGACAAGTTCAAACTTTCAGCAGTGGGTTTTTATGCTACAATAGTGTTTGCTTATGGTTTTTGTTTTTTAAAGAATGTGTTTGAGACTACCTCATGAGCAAGTCATCCCTGGGGTACTGTTCAACATTTTCTTCATCTTCCAACTATGTATATGTACATGATTACCTTCAAAGTGGTATGGCCACATTTAGTTGACCATAATATCCTAATTGCATCTTGGCTAGGCTTGGAGGAGAGTGTTTAAAATATAGATTACCTTTTTATATGATATGAAGAATAATTCTAGTATTATGGCATTTTTAAAGATACTGAAAATAAATCCCAAATCTGGATATACAGGTCTTTTTCATGCTTCTTCTCTTTTTATTTTTTATTTTTTTTGTGTGTGTTTCTTCTGTTATTAGGAGTTTTGTTCATTGCACTTCATAAAAATATTTAATGAAAAGAGAAATTAAAAAGAGCAGACTATGAGGGTGATAGCTTTGAGTATGCTGGAGTGTAGATATTGAAGTACTGCCATTTGTGGGCAGTTCAGTGAAAGAAGATACAGACTAAGTCAAGAAAATAAATAAAAATAGGCTAAAGATGGACTAGCAAGTTGCCTTATTGTAGCATTCTTTTTGTATAATCAAAACATAATGCTTAGCTTCAGGACCATATGTTAGATGCGTTATGCCTCTTGAATACTTACAGACTTCCAGCAGTATCAGTATAGCAGCGTTTCTGTTGCTTTTTATTTCTGTGGAGAAATGGAGGTTTGGGACATTAAAGTGCTTCAAAGATTTGTGAAGATAAGTGATCAGGAACGCAGAGGGAGAGAAAGGAGGGGAAGGATTGTGGGTGGCTGGTAGCAGGATACATCTGTGTTCAGTGGTGCTGTCTGTATTGTAGTTGGATGTTTAAACTGTACTGCTTTCCATGTGTTACAGATTGCCAAGAATTTCTTTGACTGCTAGGACTTTTCAGTTGCAAGGCAGTTTCTCAGCAGGGTCACTGCTGACATTTTGTATTAAATAGTTCTCTATCGGGAGGAACCTTCCTGGTATAGTCTAGGCCATTCAGCAGCAGTCCTGGTCAAGCGCCAAAGCTGGTAGTACTGTCTCCAGTCCTAATCACAGATGTTGATAAATGTCTCCTGCTTTGGGTAGAACCACTCCCAGTTGGCAAACCCTTGACATTCTGCAAAACTTGTTTACTTTGTAACACTCAAGTGATTGCTAAGCCATTTCCTTTCAGTGGCTATTTTATCCTGTGGGATCATTCTTTTGTGTCTAATGTATTGCTTTGTATTCCAGTCATGCCATCAATAAATGTTTGGATTCATTTCTCCCTGGTTCTGTAAAAATATCGTTTTGGCCTAAATGCACCATGTATCCTTCTGAAAATCTTGGGATTGTCGTAGTAGCATGGGAGGCTATTTCTCTACCTGCAGTACCAGCGACACATGGGGCTGATTTGAGGCCTGGCTGCTCACCCTCCAGTCAGATTCTGCTGTGATCTGGGGATGCAGTGGAGGGATGCCCAGGTCCTTAGGCCCTGCACCCACAGGTGGGAGATCTGGAAGAAGCACCTGGCTCCCAGTTTTGGATCAGTTGAGCTTTGGCTGTTGTGACAATTTTGTACTGAACCAGTGGATGCCAGACTCTGTAAGATCTGCCTATCAAATAAAAATAAATAAATCTAATATAAAAAAGGAAAGGATAGCATAAACCTGTGATTCCCTACCACTAAAGCATTGTGATATTTGGGCTGCTGAGATCACATAGGTGTCTGAAAGAGTGTAGAGCATTTATCTGAGTAGGACAAGAGCAATGTTCCTAGATTTGGTTCTTTGGAGTTAAATTTAAGACAACATGGGTTTAGATAATCCGTAACCAAAAGAAGGAAGAGCACAAACTGATATTCCTTCTCCCTTTGCAAACTCATCACTAGTTCTGTTCCCTAATTTGGTGAGTTCAGGTTGTCTTTTCATGTGAGGTGGAAGGTCTTAATTGTGGTAAAACGCAACCAGAAGTCCCAGACAAAATCAGGCCATTTAATGGTAGAAAGTTGACTATCTTTTTTAGGTGGGACATAGAGTATGAGCACTGGGGCCGTGGTTTTCAAAGGAGATGCCTAGTTTTGAAGATTAGTTTTAAAGGAAAATATGTGGGGGCCTGGCGCGATCGCGCAGTGGTTAAGGTCCTCGCCTTGCACGCCCGGGATCCCATATGGGTGCTGGTTCTAATCCCGGCAGCCCCGCTTCCCATCCAGCTCCCTGCCTGTGGCCCAGGAAAGTTGTTGAGGACTACCCAAAGCTTTGGGACCCTGCACCCGCGTGGCAGACCCGGAAGAGGCTCTTAGCTTCGGATTGGCTCAGCTCCAGGCATTGCAGCCGCCTGGGGAGTGAACCATCGGACGGAAGATCTTCCTCTCTGTCTCTCCTCTCTGTATATCCACCTTTCCAATAAAAATTAAAAAAAAAAAAAAAAGGAAAGTATATGAAGTTGAATTAGTAACAGGTAATAGCAGAAGGGAGTGCTCTTAAACCAGGCTGTGTTTCCACTTTACTGTTAATGGTTTGTTATTATCCTTTATTCTCTGTGACTAAAAGATTATGTGAGAAGGGAAGAAATGAAATAGGGCAGAGTGTATATGAAGTACAATTTGTCTGAAGTTTGAGCTTTTTCGTAGTGTGTACAGTTGAGTAACTGCCTTTAAAATGAAAGTAATAGCATATTCTGTTATCTCACAAAGGTCATATGATTCCTTTGTGATCCTTTTGGTAAGTCCTTTTACGCTACCCTCAGCTCCTGGCTCATTTCTTTTAAGCTGATTACAAAATGGCATGCAAATCAAATCATGTCATTAATTTGTATCTGGCATTTTGGGCTCAGATAATGGTTTTGAGACTCATCCTTTTGCATGCGTGTGTGTATCAGTGTTTTTAATGCTGAATATTACTTCATGTATGGCCAGACCCCCACATGTTTATCTGTTCTTTAGTTGGTAGATGTGGGTTGTTTCTTTCAGGGGCTTTTATGCATTTGTTTTTTAAAATGTTACTGCGGACAAATTTGCCACAGCTCTATGTGTGGAGTGGATAAATGCCAATCAATGGATTTAAAAAGAGAAATATTTAGTTTTGGTTTCTGTATGTTGATTATTTTCAGAAATATGGTTGCTTTTCATGTTCTAGGAACTCAGTGAACTATTCATGTTCTAAGAGGGCTTTGTTTGCTTTTTGCTTTACATCCCTTGGGATTTTTCTGTGAGTATAAGTGGCTTTTCTTTCTTTTCAATCTTTAGACTTTTGTTTCTCTTTCCTGTGTTTCTTCCTGGAGTGCACTGTATGGAATATGTTCTGAAAAGCGGGCAGCATCTTTTGTAAGAGGGAAAATACTAGTTTTTCACAGTTAAATATGTTCTTAGCTGTAGGGTCTTTTGGTAGATGATTTTTTTTTAATCAAAGTTAAGTAATTTTCTTCATAAGTTGCTAAGAAATTCTGCTTGTGTGTTAGGCTGTGTCAGCTATGGGTGTTTTTTTTTTTTTTTTTTTTTGACTCATTACAGATTGAGTATCCCTTATCTGAAATACTTGGGTCCAGAAATAAATCTCTGTTTTTGGATTATTTGCCTGTACAGGAGATGTCTTTGGCACAAAATTCCTGTATGATGTGCTATGTACAGCTAGTACGCATAGATTGGAGATGGTTCATGGTGCTTTCTGTGTGTACATCTGTTTGACGTGGCAGGCCCATCAAGTGAGATCAGGTGTGGAATTGTCTACTTGCAACATGCATTCAAAGAGTTGCAGATTTTGTAGGGTTTTTTTCTAATATTTGGAATGCTCAGAGCAGAACATTTGAATATGACTTAGTGTGTTGCTACAATAGTATGTTCACATGGTTTTGGTGTTAGACTGGTCTTGAATAGCTTTTGTAAAACTTACTTGGTCATAGTATGTAATTTTATACAGTGATTCTGTTTAATGTTATTTAATTGAGGATTTTTATTTCTTAATTTTTTAATGATTTATTTTTATTGGAAAAACAGATTTACTAAGAGATAAGTAGAGAAAAACCTTCCATCTCTGCTGGTTTACCCCTGAAATGGCCACTATGGCTGGAGCTAAGCTGATCCAAAGCCTGGAGGCAGGAGCCTCTTTCAGGTCTTCCATGTGGGTGCAGGGTTCCAAGGCTTGGGGCATTCCCTGCTGCTTTCCAAGGCCACAGGCAGGGAGCTGAATAGAAAGTGGAGCAGCTGGGACACTAACTGATACTTGTTTGGGATCCTGGTACCTGAAGGCGGGGGATTAGCCAGCTGAGCCATTGCGGCAGGCCCTATTTCTTAATCTTGTGATGAGATATTTTTTGTGCTGCCTTTGACTGTCATAATGCTGCCCTGAAAAAAATGGGTAGGGAAGTATTCTGGCTTTGTGTTTTTCTGGGAAAGACTGTATTAAAATGGTATACATTCGTCATTAAATGCTTGGTGGAAATCTCAATTGAAGTTTTCTGTTCCTGGAGGTTCATTTTTGGGGGAACATTTTCTAGCAAATTTAATTTGATGTATTTGACATGCATGCTTTCGAGTTTTTTTGTAATAAAGTATACTTTTAAAATATTTTCTCCTTTTTTTTGGTAAAGATTTATTTATTTATTTATTTTTGCAAAATCAGATATACAGAGAGGAGGAGAGACAGAGAGGAAGATCTTCTCTCTGATGATTCACTCCCCAAGTGGCAGCAACAGCCAGTCTGAGCCATTCCAAAGCCAGGAGCCAGGAACCTCCTCCAGGTCTCCTCTGTGGGGACAGGGTCCCAAGGCTTTGGACCGTCTT